GAGGGGGCGGGGCGGCTGCCTGGACTTCTCCGAAATCCCAGAAATCCCACTGTCACTGCTCCGACCCAGCGGGCGCCCGCAGGATTCCTTTTCTTGGGTTGCTCCGGACTTTCGCTGTAGGAATCTTAACCGGGGCTTGCGCCGCCCGTTTCCCTTTCCGCCCTTACCGATCTGAGATGCGACCGCGGGACCAGTGGTCTCCTCACTTCCTCTGTCTCGCACGCGCTCATTTCCAGGCGCACGAATTCCGCCCGTGGACGGGAGCTTTGGGCTTTTTTTTTTTTTTTTTTTTTTTTTTTTTTTTTTTATATGTTTTTTTTTTTTTTTTTTTTTTTTCTATATTTGTCAAGGAAATTGCTCCTTTAAAGAAATATATCATCTCTGACCCGGGCGTGGTGGCGCACACCTGTCCTCCCGGCACTCGGGAGGCTGAGGCAGGAGGATCGCTGTGATTTCGAGGCCAGCCCGGGCTGCATGGCGGGATTCTGCCTGAGAGAAAGGACTTTTCCACTCGGATCTCCACGCATCCTCCTGCCCCTGCGCCCATTTGGTCCTGACGCCCACAGCCGCTCTCTTTATGTCCACCCTTGTGCCGCGGCCCTGGCTGCCGGGGGGGGGGTGGATTCCCTGTGACCCTGTGCATCCCCACAATCCTGCAGTTACCACCCAGGCTCCTGTTTGTATCTTGAGAAAATCAAATCCCACTGTCTCCCAGGAAGAGTCCCGTTTCTAGGAATGTCATAGTTCTGGAGAAGGGAAAGTACCTGCAGCGAGGCTGGTACTGGAGCAAGAAAAGACCCCTGGAGCCCTAGGCTCTCCTTCCTGATGCTCAGGCTTCTAGAATCTTGTAGAACGTCCAGAACATTCCAGAACGTTCCTGAACATTCTAGGAACTGCCGGGGAACTCCAGAAATCTCCCAGAACCTTCTAGAACCCAGGCTGTGGCTCCCCCCGCTGCCTCTGCCGATGCCACTTACAGGCCCGGCCTCGGCCTGCCCAGGGGGGCCAGGGGCAATGCTGTAAATCCTTCTCCCCAAACAGCTGAGGTTCAGGACTCTCGCGGATAGAATGAACGATCTTCCGCTCACGGAGCGGCACACGTGGGGGCGGCCTCCCCAGGCCGCATGAGGCCGAGGGGGCCGGGGTCCTTGTGCCTCTCGGGTTTTGACACAGGGTCTCACCGTGCAGTCCAGGCTGACCTTGCACTTTCGGCAACCCTCCTGCCTCAGCCTCCCGAGTGCTGGAACACAGGCGTGTGCCACCGCGCCGGGGTCTGGGGCGGGGATCGTGGCTGAGGAGGCCGCACAGCTGTTGCCCCGGGCCAGCCAGGGGCCGGGGTGTGAAGGCCGAGGCTGGGGAAAGAGGACGGGGCGGGAGGCAGGATGCTGAGGCAGGGAGGTTCCGTGCTCTTGCAGGCACTGGACGACGACACATATTTCTGCTCCTTTCCTAACTTGGTCCTGCACCGCGGGGCCAGCTTCGAGGTCCACACCGTCCTGGGCGGCGCCACCTTCCAGGAGGCCCTGCGCTTTGACAACCCAGGTGAGTCGGGGCCCTGGCGGACAGGGCCGGCACCTGCGCCCCCTCCCCCACTGGGCACTGAGGCCCGGCCGCTGTGTCCCAGGCAGCGTCGGGGC